GGTTACAGTTACACTCAGCGTTTACATCGTTGACGAGCCGATCAAGAAGATGGGTGCTTTCAAATTTTTAGGAACTCGCCTCTCTGTAGAAGGAGAACATCAAAGGGTTATCGGCCAGGCAAACGCTGTCTGGGTACCCTCACACAAATTCTATGTAATAAGTGAATGCCAATGGCGGCAAATGTTGGCCAAGTACGCAAGAAGAACGCAAGGTCGGCGTCAAACAATAATCAGCGGTATTAAGTACCACAATACTAGAGCATGTCTGCAATGGTACGGGTTTGTGATTGCTTCCATCGCCAAGAAGATGTATGAAATACGGCTGCTGAAGGGATAAGCCTACTAAAATCACAAGAATGGCAATGTCCTTGGAGAAACACTAGAAAAGACCGCTAGAAAGGCCAGAGATGATGTAGATAGAGATCATCGGCGGCATTTTGAGAGAGAATAGGATGGATGAACATCATGCTTTAAATCGAGAATACTGAAGACAGCTGACTCGAACAGCAGACCCTGAGTAAGCGGAAAAGCGAAGAAAACAATTTTCCTTTAATTGCGAATTCAACATCAGAAACTCATTCGTTTCTTGAAGACATCATTTTGGCATTTCTCAGCTGCAGCCGTTTCGCTATGTTAATGTCCCGTTTTACAAGCAAGATGTCTTCAACGAAGCAAAAATGGTGGCTTTTTCAGCCGTTACCACCGCTCTCTTATCGCCCTACTGCTTGCCTGACGTTTTTAAGAGTAGCGTCAAAGTGATTACAAGACACCATCTCTTTGCTATACCCTCGTCTTCAGCTGATAATGTCGACGTGGAGGATGAGCTTGGTTTTGAAGTGTACGATCAAAATTATCCCTGTGTAGTGAGCAGGACGTAACCTAGGGTTTAGGTGACGGCTATAATCTCTCCATGTCAAAAACCATTTTAAAGGCAGGAACTTTTAAAATCGAATTGATCGCATGTTTTCTTCGCTGGAGAGCACTGTTTTGAGAGAAGCTAAATACGGGCGCTCGAAAAGCAAAATAATCGCTGAGCAGGCGGAGTGACTTCGATTTTATCGCTTACCAAGGCGAGTTTTTTGCCTGAATTTGGGGAGTAGCTTAGTTAGAGGGATGGCCATCATTATCTGATGAGAGCTCAGATCCCCCAGCTTTGCCGGACCGTTACCGTTCCTGGTCCGCGTTACCCAGTATCCAGCTCGCGGCCAGCAGCCTTTTACTACGTATCCCTTCACTACTGCGTGATACCTATCTCCCGGATTTAAAGAGGATTCCGCAGGTGGCAAAACTCTTTCTAGAGCTAAGGAAATCCGTAGGCAAATTGAGAAACTACTTTTTTGGCGCACGCCGTTAAAAATTGTTTTCCTGTTGATTTTCCAACTTTCAGTTATCTGCTCAACACGCAAAATCCTCAATTAAGAAGAAGCAGGAGCCAGTGCAGCCAACG